TTTTCCAAGGCATGGCTGGGTTCTCTTTTTTTTCTTTTCTCTCGGGCTGCAGCGGGAAGAAGAGCAGAATCGGGTCTGAGGAGGAAGAAAAGAAAGAAACAAAAAGAAAAAGAAGGAAGTTGATCCTTATCCTAAAATCTTCCCCTCTTTAAGTCCCTCAAGTTTGGACATTTCGGCTCTTAAGCCCAAAACAATATTTTCTCACAATCAAGTCCCTAACTTACACTTAAATATTCCCAAAAATTTGGGATATTACAAGCATGATTTATTTCTAAAATCTATATCAATCTCGAAATGGCTAGCCTTTTAACTCGTCACTTCCCGTGGTTCCCCATCCTCGGTTTCGCTTCCTGAAATGGTGGACAAGGAAAAACTATGAGATAAATTCAGTAAGTAAATATGGAGTGCCCTTAATTAAACTTATAGCATGCCAACAAGTATAATCACGAAAACAAATATGAGTACGGCCATGAAATAGACGTCTCCTCCATAGGTCATGGCCAGTGCTATAAACCTCCCATTGGCAGGCACATGATTTACTAGTGTATAATCCCACTAGCAGGATAACAGAAACGAACCAGTTCTATCAGTAACATGTCGACATGTGCTAGCATTTATAAACCTCCCACTAGCGGGCACACGAGTAACATGACCATATCAGAGACAAAACAAGCAGAAGTTAACAAGAAAATCATAATTCACAAATCATTTTTAAATCATCAGGATAGTTAAGTAAACTCCAAGAAGGCATGCTCAAATCAATAAAAAGAATATTAATTTCATTTCAAATCGATCATACTTGTGTAAAACGGGTTTAGTCCTGCCACCACTTTAAAACAAGTTAAAACATGCTTTAAAATCGAAGGGTGTTACCATAATTTACTTACCTCACTCGCATAAAACCGAAGACTCGATCTCAGTACTAAACTGACAGAAGGATCAGGAACCTAATCAAAATATTCAAGTATTAATTATCGTACCACAGATTCAAAAGTAAAATCACCATGACCACCCCCTAATCACGATGCTATTCCTATCAATCTCCACATGACCAGACATCTCCAAATTTATTCTTATATTACAAACTAAACATTTAAATCCCCGTTAAATTGTTGGCCATCAATGCGTGAACAGTACCCATGAACAGTACTGCAACTTCCAAAAATTGGCAAAACAATGGCTAATTCACAGGATTTTTCTCTAGACAAATTCACAGCAGCCAACTCAACTATATTCTATATGAATTAAGCAACAAAACACACTTAAAATGCTCTAATTGCTACCCGAATTCATCCCCATTTTTCAGCAAATTTCGGACACCACAGGGGCAGCAAATTAACGGTAATTTGGACTTAAATCGAGCTGCCACTTACCAAAATTTCCAGCAAGCAAACCGGAGTTAGCAGGGAGAAGAAGCCGGTGGCAATTTCTGCAGGGGACTCACGGGATTAACCCAAAATTGAAGGAACAAGAGGAATTAAGGTAAACCCAAGTCAATTTAGAGCTAAAGAGAGGAAATCATGGCTGTTTCTTACCTAAAAATGCCCAGAATTCGCACCCACAAAC